GGCCACGCCCACTCTAACGCCCACAAACCGCGGAAAACTGTGGCGTCTATAATATTATTATGAATGCCTTTGTTTGACCTTGTGTAACTTATTTCTGTTAATATCTATCGATTTACTAAAGATTTTTCAAATCGGAACATTATTTCGCTATTTATGAAGAAATTAATGTTATAAGGCCTCACATGGGCAGTGACGTCACTATAAGCATACTCAACATACTTCCTCTGACAATAGGTGGCGCCTTGTGAATTACCACTAGGAAAATAATATTTTAAAATTTTGTAAAACAGTAACGGGTATCTTATAGTCGCGGCACTCGACTATAGCGTTTCCTCTTGTTAAGTTTAAAAATGCGTGTCGACAGTGTAAATATTGAGAGTGGAAGACAAATTTAATAATTGAATATCGGTCAACCCATTTTTGCCACCAAGCCATCACCTAATGTTTATGTTTCCACATGTATGTGTATGTACTCACACCCACACTCACAGAAGTAAACAAAACAATCTAATCCTCTCGCAGCAGTATCATAGTATACTTACAGGTCACACAAACCGAAATTAATTAAAAGTTTGTATGTTGCTGCAAGCGAATGTCTAGCTTGTTTATTTGTCTTGCTACACACATACATATGAGTGATAGTCGTAGACAATGTTTTATAAACGCGAATGTTTGCCATTTGTGAAGTACTTTCATAACCTTGTAAGTTAAAAAGTTAAAACATGTATGTTTTACGTATGTATGTATTTACGTCTATGCCAATTTTTTAATAATACTAAGAGAATTATATAATTCCGTAATAAATATGCCACCTACATATACCGTCACCTGTAAATTTAAGACATCTATTTCTAACGCTCAAATGTCACTTAATTTAAAAAAAACTCATATTAACAAAAAAAATAATATTTATGGTGAAACGAAAAATGTAAGATTAACGTACTAATAATATAACGGGAATAAAAAGAAATTATGGTTTTAATTCTTAAATAATAATAATAACTTCAAATTTAATCTTATGTAGAAATCAGTATAGATTTACTAATTTAAAAAAAATAAAGTGCAATATTTACTGATACGTAAAAACAAATTAAGCGAATTAATCATTAACAAATTAACTTTAATTTTGTACCTGTACTTGTTGTGATCTCAGGAACTACAACTACAAAAGATAGAAAATTGCGATTAATATTTCAGGTTCTTGAGATGACTACACAGCGAAAGTTTATTTCAGCGTCCTGCTACGCCCACTCTCAAATCACAAAGAACTAAATTCGCTGATTATATTATAGCTAGAAAATTGGTATTGGGCATGTATAATCTTGAAATAGGAGCGCGCCTTAAGGTGGTACCATTATCCGACCACACCCACTCTTATGCCCACCAAGCTCGAAAAACCATTTCCTCTTTTAGTAGAAACACTGAGATTTCTAAAACTATAAGATCCCAGTATGTAGTTCAATGTGCAACCAAAGTGTACTTTTTTTCTTCATTTGGCTACGCCTACTATAACATCTAAAGACGCGGTAACCATAAATCCCAATAATCTATAATACTATAAGAGCAAGAAAGTTACGATTAAGCACACGTGTTCTTGAGATTCAACTGCAGCTCAATGTGGTTTTTGATCCGGTCTCGTTCTCTCTAAAGCCCAATAACCACGGAAAACTGGCGTCCATAATGTATGTCTTAGCTTGACCTTGATATAACATTTTTTGTGAATACCTACCGATTTACCAGAAATTGTTTATGTCCGAATAATATTTCGGGATTTTTTACGAAATGTAGGATATAAGGTAAGTTTTTCGACACAAGGCGACGCTGCGTCAATTTCTGCTACAAAAATTGATAAGGATATCATATAGTCGCAGATCTCGACCATAGCGTTTTTTTTTGTTATACCCGTATAGATTACAAGGTTCGTTGAAAAGTATGTAACAGGTAGTAGAAAGCGTCTTTATCAGGATGAATAGCGAAGACGAATGAGCCATGTCCGTCTGTCTGACCGTCTGTCCGCTGAGATCTCAGGAAGTATAAGAGATACAAAGTTGAGATTAACCATGAAGATTCTTGAGGTCCCTACGCATCGCAAGTTTAATACAACATCCAGCCACGCCCACTCTAACGCCCACAAATCGCAAAAAAACTAAAATCGCTGAAATCTCAGGAACTATGAGATCTAGATAGTTGAAATTCAGTATGTATAATCTTTAGATGCCAGCGCATCTTAAAGTGGTACTATTATCCGGTCACACCCACCCATACGCCAACCAAGCTCAAAAGTTTTCGCATTTTCTAGAAAAGCGGATATCTCGGTAACTATAAGAGATAGAAAGTTCGGATTAAGCATGTATGTTTTTATGATGCTCCCAATGCTTGATTTGCAATCAAGCCACAATCACTCTAACGCCCACAAAACCCGAAATACCAAAAATGCAAAAATCTCGGGAATAAGAGCTACAAAGTATAACTTGTGATGCCAGCGCATCTTATGGTGGTATTATCCTGCCACACCCACTCTTATACCAAAAATGCAAAATTCTCGGGAACTATCAAGCTAAAAAGTTGTGCTTAAGATTAAGTATTTAAGATATACCACTGCGACTTGAAACGTGTTTTCAACTGGCCAAAAGACGGTTTTCGTATATTCTAGAAAAGCTGATATCTCGATAACTATAAGTGATAGAAAGATGGATTAGACATGTAGGTTTTTCTGATGCCACCCAATGCGAATTGTTTTTCTCCGATCAAGCCACTCCCACTCTAACGCCCACAAATCCCGAAAAACCAAATATGCAAAAATATCGGAAACTTTTAGAGCTAGAAAGTATACGTATTTAAGAGATGCCACTGCAACTTGCCCCTAGTTTTCATTCGGCCACGCCCACTTTAACTCTCACAAATCGCGGAAAACTGTGGCGTCCATAATATTATAGTGTGATCCTTCACTTTAACTTATATAACATATTATTGTCAATATCCATCGATTTACCGAAGGTTCTTCAAAGCGGAACATTGTTTCGCAATTTATGAAGAAATTTAGCTTATAAGGCCTCACATGGTTTGTGATGTTACTATCAGTTACTCAACATGCTTTCTCTGACATTAGTTGGCGCCTTATGAATTTCCACTAGCAAAATTAATATTTTAAAATTGTGTAAAACAGTAACAGGTATCTTATAGTCACGGCACTCGACTATATATATATAAAAAATTATAATTTTCATAATCTGTATATGATAGGTGCGATTAGCAAGAGTTCTTTATCTCATCAATAAGAGTTTTTTTAACAAACAATCTACATACGTAGAGAATAATCTAATGTCCTCAGAATAAGCACACTGGGCTTTGCGTTTTACGTGGGCACCATGAAGGCTGCAGCCATCCCAAAAACTGCGTTGTGTGCATTCATTAGGATTCGTGTGTATGGGTAAAGGTGGGCGTGGTAGCTCATTTCCATAGGTCATATGAAACGCCACGAAAATATGTGTAAGCTTCTGCAAACAAATTCGCACAGCTGCGCCGCATGGCACTAATTTCCGTTAATTAAAATAAATACGTCAAGCGATAATAAATGACGGCGCACGTATCAAGAGTGCTCTAGAACGATCCAAATGACACTCACCGCCTTCAATTAGCAGCTCTCCAGGCCGGGCACTTGAATCCTTGGTACCAGCTCCTGTGTTCACTTTTGGGATAATTGATTTTGCTAGACTCACTATAACATTCAGGAGGACCGATCAAAAGGACTTGTGCTTTAAGTCACTCGTGGCTTGTGCAGCGCATAAATTCTACTCAAATGGTGCAATGTGTCAGTGTATAAGTGCGACCTGCTCACCGTCCGATAAGTTCTGTGAAGCTTGCAAAATAGCACGACACAAGAAAAAATAACTGACCCGTAGAGCAAAAGTATTCAAGTGTGGAATCCTGCAGGAGTAAACAAAATAAAAGGGATGTGGGTAGAAAGTGGTAAAGACCAAAGCTGAAGCTAAACATAAAACTGAAGTTGAGGCAGACATTGAAGGTACGCTCAACAAAGGCGTTATCCAAAACATGTGTCAACTGCCAGGCATCCTGAGCAATATTAATAACACTCGGCTAACATATATTTCATTAAAGCTGCAAGGAGATTTTGCCCGCGCAATACGCAACACAACATGTTGCATTTCGACTCGCTTTCACTTCAAGGATGTTTATGCAAAGCCTGTGGCACACTTTTGTCCACACGCTCTCTGACTAACAAGAGGAAATTTAATAAATGTATACAGTTACTCGTAATGAAAACTTAACCTAACGTAAAAATATATTCTTGACGACGAACAAATGCCGACCCAGCTTCTCCATGTCTGTCTCTTCGTCTAATCTATAAGAGATAACAAGTTCGGATCAGCCATGCAGATTGCAAATATACCTAGGTAGCGCAAATTTGTTTTAGCATCTGGCGACCACGCAATAGTCAATTCAACGCGAAAAGCGGTGCTACCAAAATTGTATATGGCGTAAGTTTCTGCTGACAAAATTGATATTTTAATGTTTGGCGTTTCTTGTTTTTGGCTTTTAAAAATATATCGGTTACCATATGCGGCAGGCTCGACCTGTATTCCCTTATCCTCCTTGTTGCATTTGAACAGAAATTCATATGAATATGAGGAACGTGTTTTTTAATTTTTTGTAAAGAACCCGTCTGACATTTTTGCGCACTTTTTCATAATTTATGCAGACCGGAAATCCAACATGTGGTAACCAACAAAGACCGAAGAATGCAGTTTTAACTAATAATGGAAGTCGAAAAAAGTGATGTGCCCTCAATGGATTATTAAACACACGGTAGTACACCAAAGAAATTCTCAAGTAAATAATTAAACAATAGAAAGTGTCTTAAACTTAATAAAAACTTTTTGAGCTTATTGAAAACTTCATCTATAAAAAAGTCAGAATTTTGGAAAGCTGTTGGTCTATATAAGGCTGGTTCCTTAAGTCTTTAGAGTATTTCCTTCAAGATGGTATTCAAGTTAATACGACCCGCCCCGCTAACAGAGCCAAAAAGGTCTCGCGATGGCTGCATCTACCTATATCGGGCCATGAAGTTTATTGGGTGGCTGCCTCCAAAAGACGGCGTGTCGCGGTATTTGTACCTAACATGGACGCTGATGACGTTCGTGTGGTCCACCACTTATCTGCCACTGGGATTTCTTGGCAGCTACATGACTCAGATTAAGTCCTTTTCTCCGGGTGAGTTCCTCACATCGCTCCAGGTTTGTATCAATGCCTACGGCTCCTCGGTGAAGGTTGCCATTACGTACTCTATGCTCTGGCGCCTTATCAAAGCCAAGAGCCTGCTAGATCACTTAGACCTTCGCTGCACCACCATGGAGGAGCGCGAAAAGATTCACCGAGTTGTGGCACGCAGCAACCATGCCTTTCTCATTTTCACCTTCGTCTACTGTGGCTATGCGGGCTCCACCTACCTTAGCTCGGTGCTTAGCGGCCGGCCACCCTGGCAGCTTTATAATCCGTTCATTGACTGGCATGACGGGACGCTTAAACTCTGGGTGGCGTCCACCCTCGAGTACATAGTGATGTCCGGAGCTGTGCTTCAGGATCAACTTTCGGATACTTATCCACTAGTCTACACCCTCATCCTTCGCGCCCACCTAGATATGCTGAGGGAGCGGATCCGTCGTCTCCGATCTGACGTTACCCTAAGTGAGGCCGAAAGCTACGAAGAACTAGTAAAATGCGTCATTGACCATAAGCTTATTTTGAGGTACGGCAAACAAACATGAAAAGTTTAAACAATTAAAAATTACTTTGGCCAGCAGATACTGCTCTATCATAAAGCCAGTCATTTCTGGGACTATATTTACACAGTTTCTGCTGATCGGCCTAGTTTTGGGTCTCACGCTGATCAACGTATTTTTCTTTTCGGACATTTGGACTGGTATCGCATCCTTTATGTTCGTCATAACCATTCTACTGCAGACTTTCCCTTTTTGCTACACCTGCAACCTTATTATGGAGGACTGCGAGTCCCTGACCCACGCAATATTTCAGTCTAACTGGGTGGATGCCAGTCGCCGCTACAAGACAACGTTACTATATTTCCTTCAAAATGTGCAGCAGCCTATTGTATTTATTGCCGGCGGCATCTTTCAGATATCTATGAGCAGCAACATAAGCGTAAGTACCTGTGGAAAAATACAATTTCATTTTGCCTGCACATTTTCTAATTTGCAATCCCACTATTAGGTAGCAAAGTTCGCCTTCTCCGTGATAACCATTACGAAGCAAATGAATATTGCCGACAAATTTAAAACGGACTAAATTGGTGGACGTGTTTGAATTTCCTTTATTTATTACTCACACCTTGTCCGTTGCTAACATTCTGGACTTTTGGATAAGTACACACGAATCTTTACATTTTTTCATAAAATTACTGGTATACACAAGTATAGATATAGATAAATATATGGTCTAAATAATTTTTGTATATATTTGCTACATTTAAATATTTGTTTTTATAGTATTCTGGATAGAAGGGTCAAGCTTGTTAATATTTGACTATATAGAACGATTGCAGCAGTTTAATTATATTTATTTTACAATTTAAAAATAAATTGGAAATGGCTCAGTGATAAATAATTCAACTATTCACCTACGCTAACCTTTATCGTTAAAAAGTTTGGACCAGGCTGAAGGAATCCATTTATAAATTTAGCCATGTCAAGAATTTTGTTTCAGGTTTTGTTTTGTAGGTCCCGCAACGGAAGAAATGGCGGACATGGCTTAATCGACTTTTGCTATTAATACTTATCAGGAATATATATAATTTATAGGGTCGGAAGCGCTTCCTTCTATCTGTTACATACTTTTCAACGAATCTAATATATAAATATTATATAATATTATAAACTGGAATGTTAGGACTAGATACAAGAATTCTAGAGATGCCACCACTCGAAAGCCCACAAACCTCGGAAAACCTGCTACACCTGGAGAACAGTTTCCTGTACATGCAGAGGATACATAACCATCCGAGTCTGCTGGCCATCTCTCTACTTGACAACAGCGAACAGACCAAAAGTCTCCGTAGGAGCCATCCGTTGAACCTCCCCTGGACTTTTTAGGTGGATCTCAATTCAATTAAATTTATCAATCTGTCTATTATCCCAATTATGAATTTCTTATAAGCCAAGTTTCTGTCAAAACATTCAGTGATTGTCCAGAAACGATAGTTTTAAATAAACATTGCTCAGCTAAACTAAAAATTTAACAACTACCCTGAATAAATCATTCCTATTAATTTATTGTCGCAAGAACAGATAAGAAATGCTCAATCTCACAGTAATTCAAAACAATTTAGAAAAAAATAAATTATACTCTAATAACTATAGTTAAGCCAAAGTCAAGATTAGGCCTGCTTTCTCTCCCCTGGAGCCCTGGGATTCGGCTCGACGCGTAGTAGTTGCTTATGCTGGCCGATTATATGCTCAATGTGATTGCATTCGCGGAGGTGACCCTTGAACTCGTCCAGAGTCTGGTACAGAGCGGGATAGAGAGCGGGTAGAAGTCCATGATCCAGAGTAGGAAAGAGATGGTGGAGCACATGGTCGCCAAAATGGGTAAGCACCAGAAACTGCGAACCCTTGAGATCACCGCGGTCAATGATCGTGTCCACCTGAAAAAGACCCCAGTCACGATCCACGCGAATCGCATCGCCCTCGTGATAGATTTCTGGATCGTGATGCGCTGCATTCAAACCAATTACACAGAAGGTGAAGCTGGCGATCGATGTCATCGCAAGCCACTGGCGCACACAAATCCATACCCCCAAAGATCCTCCAGTTCCGAGGTATATAGCGATTGGTATACTAAGCGGCAGTAGATCATGCCAGTAAAGGATGTTAGTGTGGCGCAGTGAGTAGAAGATACTGCAATATCAATCAATCAAACTATAACTGATAAGACTACTTACTACTATCACCATTTTTACTAAACACTTACCGTGTGCCTATCTGAATAAAAAAGGCAAAGGCATAGGCAATCGGCTCCGTAACCCAGGACGCATACCGCATCACCTTACTCTTAATGTGCCTATTAGGCACCCAGCACAGCAGGGGCTCGAACATCGATAGCTCCAGATCGAAGTAGGAATTGGGGTAGATGTGATGGGACAGTGCGTGGGATACACGCCACGCAGCAAAGTTCATTAGACCTAAGTTGAAGGTGTACATCTGCCAGTTGTCCCGTCGATGGAAGTAGTTGTGCGACACGATGACCGTCCAACAAAGGGCAACACCTGCCAGGATCAGAGCTAAATAACTATTATACTTGGCACTGACAATGCCGAAGAGGAAGAGCGACACAAGGACTCCCAGGTGTATGATCTATAGAAAAAATGGATTAATATATATTATTTTAAAAAAACTTAATTAGACATTTTTTGTAGATACACCAAAAACTTTGTTATGTTTTTCAATGAAATAAGATAATAGTTATAAAACCGAATTAAATAAAAATCAATTCATTGGAGTTTTAATTCTATGAATCAATCAAGTTATTCATGCTCGTAATGAGAATTATTTCAGTGGTGCGTCATGTGATTAAATGTTATTCAATATTGATTACTAATAAGTTATGTTGGCTCGAGATCTTTAGCTTTATGATAAGGAATATGGAATAATGACCATTTTTTTCACTCACGTCACTTTTTTTTTTTGGCTGTTTATCTACGGTTTTCAGCTTTTCGCAAACTCGTTTCTTAAGAGTTTTGTAAAATCCGCCTTCCTCCAGGGTCAGGGTGTAGATCCTTGGCTCTGCAGCATCCCTCACCTTGTACTTAGCGATCATCTTCTGAGGAGCAGTCGTAAGATGATGTGCTTCAAAAGCTTCCGTTATGTCTGTGCCCACCGTCTCACGAATCCAAAAAGGACCACCAGGGTGTTTGTCAATGAACTCGGTGAAATCATATATATTATCGTGAATGCGCCAGAGTCCTTCGGCCCGATCATCCTGCCGTTTTCCCTTTTGCCAGCTGTGGGTTGTTATCAGCGCCGAGTTGCGGTAAGTGGGAAATTTCGTGGCAATGCCGCACTCTTTCCACTCGTCGATTACCATTTTGTTTAGTCCTTTAAGTCTTTGGAAAACACCCAGCCGATTAAGAAACCTTCACGCTGGGATTCCAGCAAACATCTGAATATATCCGCCTTAAGCTCGGGGATTTTAATATTGCGTAGCTTAAAGCTTATAAGATTATATAAAACGAAAACGTTCAATTTCCGAACTAAACAGTTCTATAGTGATAAGACGTCTTATCAGCAGAGTGCCGTAGGCCCTCAGCTGCCGCCAATTTACTTTTCCTCTATTTCTATTTATTTTTATACCCTACATATATACCCACATAGTGGGTAGCTGCAAACATCACATATAAATTTAGGTTGCAATAATTGTTTGGGGGCAATTAAATTAAATAAAAAGATAGAAATCAGAGAACATAACGTTATACGTTATTCTTAGAGTAAAGTGGAATTTTATATTTGTTAAACAGTACGAATCACGTAGAGGTAGAGGGAGAGGTAGAAAGTTAAACTTCGAAACACGTATTTTGGAGATGCCACTGCAATTCGACACTAGATTTCATCTGGCTACGCCCACCTTAACGCTCTTGTATAACATGTTTTTGTCAATATCTATGACTTACCAAAGATTTTTCAATTTGGAACATAATTTCGATATTTATGAAGAAATGTAGGTTATAAAGGAAACGCTATAGTCGAGTGCCGCGAGTTGTACACAATTTTAAAATATAAATTTTGCTAGTGGAATTTCACAAGGCGCCACCTATTGTCAGAGGAAGTATGTTTAGTATGCTTATAGTGACGTCACTGCCCATGTGAGGCCTTATAACTTTAATTTCTTTATAAATAGCGAAATAATTTTCCGATTTGAAAAATCTTTAATAAATCGATAGATATTACAAGAAATAAGTTATACAAGGTCAACCGAAGGCATTCATAATAATATTATAGACAGTTTTCCGCGGTTTGTCGGCGGTAGAGTAGGAGTGGCCGGATGCAACTTCGTGGCAAGTTGCAGAGGCATTTCGTAAATACGTGTTCCTAAGCTAAATTTTGTAGCTCTTATAGTTTTTGAGCTTTTTGCATTTTTGGTTTTTCGGGTTTTGTGGGCGTTAGAGTGGGCGTGGCTTGATCGGAAAATTCGCATTGGGAGCATCATAAAAACCTGCATGCTTAATCTGAACTTTCTATGTCTTATAGTTACCGAGATATCAGCTTTTCTAGAAAATCCGAAAACCGTCTTTTGACCCTTGTGGGCGTATGGATGGGTGTGGCCGGATAGTAGTACCACTATAAGATGTGCTGGCCTCTAAAGATTATACTTTTTGAATTTCAACTTTCTAGCTCCAATAGTTCCTGAGATTTTAGCAATTTTAGTGTTTTGCGATTTGTGGGCGTGGCAGGATGCTGTAATAAACTTGCGCTGCGTAGGGACCTCAAGAATCTTCATGGTTAATATCAATTTTGTATCTCTTATAGTTCCCGAGATCTCAGCGTTCATACGGACAGACAGACGGACATGGCTCATTCGTCTTCGTTATTTATCCTGATCAAGAATATATCTGCTTTCTTCTACATGTTAGATACTTTTCAACGAATCTAGTATACCCTTTTACTCTACGAGTAACGGGTATAAATATAATTATTATGTTAAGTATAATAATTATTTTAGGTTGCAGATGAAAAGATTAAAAACGTATTTATCTACTGCATTGAGCGTTGTTTGCAACACAACAACGAGCTATCAGTAACTTGAAGTGATAGAGGAGGGGGGTTTTTTAGAGGTATAGAGCTTTAAGTTGGCATAACTGTTTATAATGGCGATCGATTTAACTACTGTCAGGTGATTTATTCTCAGTTTGGTATGGCACTTTATTATGAATAGAATCACGCCTGAACAACTTTTGCCAATCGTTCAATTTTATTTCGAAAATAATGGTTCTGAGCGGAATACGTTTTGCGCCCTACGTCCCTTATAACGTCGACCAAATCGATGAAGCGCACTTCTGGTTGAATGGCTACGTCAACAAACAAAACTGCCGCATTTTGAGTGAAGCGATAAAAACTGGCTCTTTGGTCCGCACATCTTCAAAAACGATGATGCCCATAACGTTACAGTCACCGAAAATTGGACTTCCAGATTGGACTATATCCGTGCCAGCCGTGGCGGTCATATGCCAGAAATCATATTTAAAATGTAATGCCACAAGATAATCTTTCGAATAAAAAACGAGAGGAAATGCTATAGTCAAGTGCTGTTTTACACAATTTTTAAATATTAATTTTACGAGTGGAAATTCCCAAAGCGCCACCTAATGTCAGAGAGAGCATGTTGAGTAACTGATAGTGAAATCACTGCCCGTGTGAGGCCTTATAACCTAAATTTCTTCATAAATGGGGAAACAATGTTCCGATTTAAAAAATCTTTGGTAAATCGATAGATATTAACAGAAATAAGTTATACAAGCTCAAACGAAGACATACACTATAATATTATGGACGCCACAGTTTTCCGCGGTTTGTGAGCGTTAGAGTAGGCGTGGCCGGAGGAAAACTAGGGGCAAGTTGCATTGGCATCTTTTAAATATGTATTCTTAAGCACAACTCTTATATTTCCCGAGATTTTCGCCTTTTTGGTTTTTTGGGTTTTGCGGGCGTAGCTTGATCGCAAAAAAACAATTCGCATAAGGGGCATCATAAAAACCTACATGTTTAATCTCTCTAGCACTTATAGTTTCCAAGTTATCAGCTTTTCTACAAAATGCGAAAACCGTCTTTCGAGCTTGGTGGGCGTAACTGTAGGTGTGGCCGGATAATGGAACCACCATAAGATGCGCTGGCATCGCAAGATTATACTTACTTAATGGGATTTTAAAGATTTTAGTTTTTTTAATAAACTTGCGCTGCGTTGGAACCTCAAGAATCTGCCTGCTTAATCTCAACTTTGTATCTCTTATAGTTCTTAAAATCTCAGCGTTCATACGGACAAACGTACGGACGGTCATGGCCTAATCGACTTCGCTATTGATACTGATCAAGAATATAAATTAATATTTAAGTAATATTCCCTAGGTTGTCCCACGCCGCAGTCCGTTGGGAGGGGGGTGGTGACGTCAACGCCGACGTGGCTGGCTGCTCTTCTAGGTGGACTGGCGAAGATTCGGTTCTCCGGGTGGTGCGCTGGCCCTTTGTGCTTAGCGCCGTTCCTCAAAAAGATTAGGATATGTTGGGATAACTTCTCTCCGTCAATATTAGTCCTTAAGGCAAAATAACCAATTCAATAAAGACAGCGTTAGATGGAGTTAATCTGTGAGCTCTGTGCTCTTTTATTGAAATCCAAATTATTTAGTGCAGCCGGCAAGCCGACCACTCGTAAAGCAAAGTGCTGACCTTAACTTAGCATATCTCACCATACCAGGGCCCAATGGGACCCATGCCCGGCCCCTAAAGGCGTTTATGCTGAAATTGCATGTAAAAAACTAGGGTAATCAACCAAGTTTTGAATCGACTTATATGTTACCCATCAATAGTTTCAACTTATATATACTTTATAGGGTCGGAAACGCTTCTTACTACCTAATACATACATACTAGGGGCAAGTTGCATTGGCATCTTTTAAATATGTATTCTTAAGCACAACTCTTATATTTCCCGAGATTTTCGCCTTTTTGGTTTTTTGGGTTTTGCGGGCGTAGCTTGATCGCAAAAAAACAATTCGCATAAGGGGCATCATAAAAACCTACATGTTTAATCTCTCTAGCACTTATAGTTTCCAAGTTATCAGCTTTTCTACAAAATGCGAAAACCGTCTTTCGAGCTTGGTGGGCGTAACTGTAGGTGTGGCCGGATAATGGAACCACCATAAGATGCGCTGGCATCGCAAGATTATACTTACTTAATGGGATTTTAAAGATTTTAGTTTTTTTAATAAACTTGCGCTGCGTTGGAACCTCAAGAATCTGCCTGCTTAATCTCAACTTTGTATCTCTTATAGTTCTTAAAATCTCAGCGTTCATACGGACAAACGTACGGACGGTCATGGCCTAATCGACTTCGCTATTGATACTGATCAAGAATATAAATTAATATTTAAGTAATATTCCCTAGGTTGTCCCACGCCGCAGTCCGTTGGGAGGGGGTGGTGACGTCAACGCCGACGTGGCTGGCTGCTCTTCTAGGTGGACTGGCGAAGATTCGGTTCTCCGGGTGGTGCGCTGGCCCTTTGTGCTTAGCGCCGTTCCTCAAAAAGATTAGGATATGTTGGGATAACTTCTCTCCGTCAATATTAGTCCTTAAGGCAAAATAACCAATTCAATAAAGACAGCGTTAGATGGAGTTAATCTGTGAGCTCTGTGCTCTTTTATTGAAATCCAAATTATTTAGTGCAGCCGGCAAGCCGACCACTCGTAAAGCAAAGTGCTGACCTTAACTTAGCATATCTCACCATACCAGGGCCCAATGGGACCCATGCCCGGCCCCTAAAGGCGTTTATGCTGAAATTGCATGTAAAAAACTAGGGTAATCAACCAAGTTTTGAATCGACTTATATGTTACCCATCAATAGTTTCAACTTATATATACTTTATAGGGTCGGAAACGCTTCTTACTACCTAATACATACTTTTACATACTCAGCGAATCTAATACACCCTGTTACTCGATGAGTAACGGGTATAATTAGTTATAAAATGTATCATTAACAAAAAATGCTTTGCTGGAAGGGTGTTAAAGAAAAGGCCGAGCATTTTTAATTTTGTGTGTTTTATTTGAGTATCAAAGCAACTGCTTTTCGGCAGCTATATCGAACGAATGCTGAGACCGAAAGATTATTGCCAACGATTCGCCGATTCCTGATATGGAGATGGTTGAGCGATGGGTTTTAGGTTGAAGTTGATTTCCTATACGAGAGGCGACGAAGTTAACTTGAGAGACCGTATCGAGTAAGGCCCGTCATGGTAATAATACGCCAAAACTGTTTTTGACATATATTATGGCGGTGGCAAGCAAAAAGTTATTGGTTTTATTTGGCGACAAAGCTACAGATGGTGGCTTGGGTAAGGCTACAGAAACTAAATATGAGGTGTGTGGTGGCATTTCAGGACCAGGATGCGGAACGAGTGCAATACGATTCGACTCC